GGATCTAAAGGAAGTCCGGCTCAAGCCCAATACCAGGACCCTGCACTTCTTTCTGAGGTTCCATACATGAAAGCCAGGATTTTCACCTCAAATGCCACATACAAGTTTCCAGTGAAACCCAAGCAGCGCTACATTATTAGACTCTATTTCTATCCGGCTGTTTATGGCAGCAACAATGCTGAGCAGTCCTATTTTGCGGTCATCGCCAATGGAATCACTGTCCTGCAAAACTTTAGTGCTTCAATCACTTGTAAGGCCCTTACGCAAGCTTATATCATGAGGGAGTATTTCCTGGCTCCCCTGAATAACGATTCTCTAGAAGTCACCTTTTCGCCTTCTGCGGGCTTTGCTTTTGTGAATGGTATTGAGCTGATTGGAACGCCTGACATGTTCGGCAGCGCCACAATTGTTGGGGCTTCAGACCAGACTTTTGATGGAAAGAGTACAAATTTGCAGACCATGTTTAGAGTGAATATTGGTGGGCAGTTTATTTCACCCACCAATGACTCTGGCGCCCTAACCAGGACATGGTATGATGACTTTGCTTATGTATTTGGTGCTCAACTTGGGGTCACCAACGAGGCCGCCAAAGACGTTAAAATTGACTACAAAGATATGCCACGATATATTGCTCCTGTTGATATCTACAAGACCTCAAGATCCATGGGAGAAAATAAGGACATCAACCTGAGTTACAATCTCACATGGGTGTTCAACCAGGTTGATCCCAAATTCATGTACCTTGTGAGGTTACACTTCTGTGACTTTTACCTGAGCAAAACCAATCAGATAGTGTTCACTGTTTACATCAACAATCAAACTGCCGAGGCTGAAGCAGATGTGATTGGATGGGCGGGAGGAAAGGGGGTGCCTACATACAGGGATTATGTGGTAGCACTCAAGGATGGTAGTGATGGTAACCTTTGGCTAGCTTTGCATCCGGCAATGAAATCCCGTCCTGAGTTCTACGATGCACTCATCAACGGAGTGGAGATATACAAGCTTGAACAGGGTAAAACTTTGGCAGGCCCTAACCCTAACCCTTCTGAAATGTTGGCAAAGGACCAGGAAAGAGAGAAAAGCTTTGAAAATCAGCAGCAACAGCAGGGAGGAAGTGGAACCAACAAAGCTCATGTGATTGGTGGAGCTGCTGGAGGAGCTGCAGCCTTTGGCATAGTGGCTGCATTGTGCATTGCCGTGTACCAAAGAAAGAAAAAATCCCCAGGAACCGAAACACACACTTCTAGCTGGCTACCACTCTATGGAAATTCACATACCAGTGGCACCAAATCAACAATTTCAGGCAAGAGTACTGCTAGCAGCCACCTCACAACAGCTGCTCAAGGCCGTTGCAGGCGTTTCTCCTTTGTCGAGATGAAACAAGCTACTAAGAGTTTTGATGAGTCTAATGTCATTGGTGTTGGAGGATTTGGAAAGGTGTACAAGGGTGTCATTGATGCAGGGATGAAAGTGGCCATCAAGAGGTCTAACCCACAATCAGAACAAGGAGTTCATGAATTCCAAACTGAAATTGAGATGCTTTCAGAGTTGAGGCATAAACACTTGGTCTCTCTGATTGGATTCTGTGACGAAGATAATGAAATGTGCTTGGTTTATGACTTCATGTCACGCGGGACTCTACGGGAGCATCTGTACAAGGGCAACAAATCTCAAGCTCAGCTGTCATGGAAGAAAAGGCTAGAGATTTGTATTGGAGCAGCAAAGGGACTTCACTACCTTCACACAGGGGCTAGGTGGACCATTATTCACAGGGATGTCAAGACAACAAACATTCTTTTGGATGAGAACTGGGAAGCCAAGGTTTCTGATTTTGGGCTCTCAAAGACTGGCCCCAACATGGACAATGGGCATGTTAGTACAGTGGTGAAGGGCAGCTTTGGCTACTTGGATCCTGAATATTTCAGGAGGCAACAGTTGACTGAAAAATCTGATGTCTACTCATTTGGGGTTGTTCTCTTTGAGGCATTGTGTGCAAGGCCTGCTCTGAATCCTAGCCTGCCAAAGGAACAGGTTAGTCTAGCAGACTGGGCCCTGCATTGCCAAAGAAAAGGAACTCTGGAGGACATCATTGATCCTTATCTCAAGGGGAAAGTCAACATGGAAAGCATCAAGAAATTTGCAGATACAGCTGAGAAGTGCTTGTCTGACGCAGGAACTGACCGCCCCACTTTGAATGACATCTTGTGGAACCTTGAGTTTGCTCTCCAGTTGCAGGACGACCCAGATGGTTCAAACCACTCTTCAAGACGTGCAAGAAGTGACTCCGACGATGCCCATCTAAGAAACCAGAACATGATGGCAATACATTACAGCAACCTCAGCCTTGGAAGTGAGAGTGATCTGAATGAAGAATCCAACAACACCACCAACTCAAATGAAACCACCAGCGACTCCAGCGCAATCTTCTCGCAGATTGTCAATCCAAAAGGGCGATGAGGGGAGCGCTCTTAATGAATGATTTGCTGTGAGAGAATGAAAGCAATGGGATTGATCAAGCAAATGCAACCAACGTACTAGATTAATTACTTTTCAGACAGAGGGTGATGCTTTCATTGTATGTTATTATTTTGTCTACTCTTTTTTCCCTATATACTCTCATTTAGTAGTATTACATTACATATTAATCGGACAGGCTATACATATGATTCTATGGCAATTTGTACTCAAACAAGTTCATATAGAGTCAAGTTTAATCTGCCTGGTGTTCTATATGATATTAAAAGTAATATTTGTATAAAGTTAGCCTCTCTTCTAGTAGTATATTTAAATATACAGTATTATGTACGTAACGTAAACGTACTGCGTCATGTCGAAATTGGAAAGAGCAAGAATCGTTTTGTTAGATTCTTGAGTTTTTGCCTTGTGCAGCAGTGTTGAGTATAGTTGGAAAAACACAATCCATTTCTCCTTTCTGTTGAGCAGGAGCTAGCATTTGTTTTAATGTTGAACTTACCATTTGTACTTGAATTGGTGTTGGAGTGGAAACAAATACACAAGAAACAAGCAAACACACAAACATCTTTGTCTTCCTTGCTATTGGGCTTTTTGAATATCATCAGTTCATTCATTCATAATTTCATATGCATATTTGTTCTGTTCAGTTGGCAAAGTCTTTTAAAATAACAATTATACACTGTTTTTTCTTTTGCTGGAGAAAGCACTATCTACTTTATGAAAGAAAGAAAACTAGTGAAATGAATGGTTCACATTGGCAATGTTTAAGGTTCATCTAACAAACAGACAAGGTGATGCCACAGCCACTGCCAGCACAAACTTAAAAACATGATAGTCTTAAAAACATGATAGTCAAAGAACAATCGACAGCATCTTTAATTGATGGATAGCGTGTTACGTGTAGAGAGCATTTTCAAACTTGAAGCGAAGGAATCAACTGAGATCTGAATCTGAGAAGGAGACAGACATCCATACCCCATTGGAAGAACATCATGCTCAAATCTCAAATCGTTGGTTGGTTTCATTGTCTTGTCAAATTGCCACCTCCAATCCAATCATTGCTTACTTGCACCAATTGTTTTGTTTGTTTGTATTTATATATTTTATTTTATTTTATATTAGTCTCTGCAACTTTCAATGATACTCCACTTCCTTCCACTAAGCAAGCAAGCAATGGCCTTGGCAGATGATAAACTTGCTTTTCGTTTTGAAAGACTTTTTCTTCCTTTGTATTATTTTATTCAACTAACCTCACTGTTAATTCATCCCATCATCTTTTTCTTTCTGGACACTGCAACATGACAAAATTCTTCCCCCTCCCTCTTTGTAAGGTCATTTCAAAAATCATCATCTCCTCCCTCCCTCTTTATCCATCCAAAAAAACTCAAAAAGGTGTGCGACTTTTTCATCACCAATAATTGAGTGCCCAAGTGTTCATTTGCCCAACACATGATAGATAGTTTATTGTAAGATTCACTTTGCCCAATTGATTAACAATTAGCCAAGTGCTCTGAAAGAAACCCATTAACTACATCTACCACTAATCCAATTCTTTTGTGGTTGTGATTTTCTTAATTGAGGATTACTGCACATCCTTACACACCAAATCTTATTTGCTCAAATTCAACCCAAGAACCTTACCTAACTGTTAACTAACTCTCCCTTCCCCTCCCTAAATGCATTCGATCATTTGCCACTACGTTTATATCAGTTTATCTTCTTTCAGCACTTTGGCAAAAAAGGGTAGGCCAAATCATTCAAGGTCAACAGTGTGGGCCCCGTCATGTCTTGCCCGCATTCTTGCAAGACGCATCAGATGCCTCCACGTCTCCACATTGCCGCATGCCTTCCACTCTGCTGCAAGAGACCAGACTGGACTCGCTCAATAAAAAAAGTATGAAGACTACTACTACCGTACCTGGGTTAAAGTTTTAAGCGAATAAAAGGCCAAAATTTTGAAAATCGCGGCCATGAAGTGGGGCCCGTTTTAGGATCTTTGACACAGACGTTAGTTTACTTACTTTCTCAGGCGTCAGACCTGGCTTCGGTCCTCTGTTCTACCCTTTGCGCAGAACAGAGCACTCTCTCTCTCTCTCTCTCTCTCTCTCTCTTTCTTGCAGGTTTTTTTTATAAAAAAATATTATTATTAGAAACAGTAACGGATTGATATTATATGGAACGCATTTTTCAAAAGGAATACGAATTTGTGTGAAAGGAAGAACATTTTTATTCTGGAACCAATGGGAAGGAACACACACATGATTTCATAAGTCGTGCAGGAGGAGGAAGATAACTCTTGATTAAACAGACACTTTTTTTATCAGTTTAAATTTATTTTCCAAAGACAAAGCAAAGTCTTCTCTTTCACACCTTTCGATTTTTTTATGATCGTCTTTCACACCTTTAGATAGCGTTGGGTTTTTTCTCTTTTCACTGCCCAAAGTGTGCACGGTTCTCTCTTCTTTCTGCTCATCTGGGTATTAATCTGATTTTGATGGGATACTTTAGTCCATCTCATTTCTCATAATTAACTGCGTAGGTTTTTGTTTTTCTTATCCTAATGAAAAAGATGGAATTTTGAGCAATATTATTCATCTCTGCATCTGCCTTTTTATTTTTCGAGATACTCCTCAATCTGGGTTGACAGGGTTTTTAGGATTTAGGGACTGATTTTTTTAGGCTTGAGTGAACATGGATGAGGTTGAAGAAGCTAACAAAGCAGCTGTTGAGAGCTGCCACGGAGTTCTCAGCCATTTGTGTCAACCTAAGGGCCAGGTTCATTGTAAAAATTTACTGGCGGAAACTGAGGAGGCTGTGTTCAAGTTCAAGAGAGTTGTGTCTCTTCTGGGCGGTGGCTTAGGCCATGGAAGAGTGAGAAAGTTGAAGAAGTTCAAGCCGCCACCTTTGCCTCAGAACATCTTCCTAGATGGCCCTAATTACAGATTAGATATTTCAACAAAACCCCTCCAATTACTCCCACCTAATTCTCTTGAAAACCGACGCGCAGAAAAGGATTCTAAGTATGGAAGTTCTCTGCAGCACACACACAGCCAGAAAGTGTTTCTTGGAAACCCAGTAGTGGATTTGGAAATGAAAATCAAGCTCCCTCTCCAAATTCCCAAAACAAAACCATTGCAACAGTATCATTTCCTCGAACAGAAGCATGACCATCAGCAAGAGATACAAAGATTGCAGCTTCAGCCCCAACAGTTGAAATATCAGGCTGATACAATGTACTCTGGGAGAAACCGTGGCATCAACCTTGCATTTGATAGGTCCACTACCCGCACTCCCTCCATGTCGTCAGCCAGATCATTTGTATCATGTTTGAGCATGGATGGTGGTGTGGCTAACACTCACTGCGATTCGTTCCAACTAATCCGCGGTGTGCCTCAGCCGCCTGATCGGATCTCACAACAACAAAGGAGGTGCAATGGTGCCGGGGAAAACGGAACTGTAAAATGCGGCAGTAGTGGTAAATGCCAGTATCCAAAGAAGAGGTGAGTCTTGACTCTGAAATTTATGTTTTTCAAGTGGGTGCGGGTGTTGTTTGTTTGCTTGTTTAATTAATTAATTTTGTTAATAGGAAAGTGAGGGTGAAAAGATCGTTTAAGGTTCCTGCCATTAGTAACAAGATTGCAGACATTCCAGCTGATGAATATTCATGGAGGAAATATGGGCAGAAGCCAATTAAGGGTTCCCCCTATCCTAGGTAATATTTTTATATTCAAACATGCCTAGCTTCTGTTGTTTTGTACAATATTGTGGTGAATTTGATTATGGAAAGATAAGCAATGTGAGTCTAACTGAGAAGGGTGTGATTGTAGGGGATACTATAAGTGCAGCAGCATGAGAGGGTGTCCCGCGAGGAAACATGTTGAGAGAAGCCTTGAAGACCCCGCTATGCTTATCGTCACCTATGAAGGCGAGCACAAGCATTCACCATCTGACCAGTGAGGGTGAGTGCCGTCGTTGACATTATCCTGTACTGCTACTAGTATAAACATTCAGCTTCAGACAGACGGAAGAAACATAAGCCAACTAGCATATTTACATGTGAAATATAATCTGTGGATCCCAGATCTGCATATCGATGAATGGTGTTTCTATTTGCCTTGAGATAACGGAATGGTTTCTATTCGAGTAAATAGATTTCCTCTTTTTTGGGCAAAGCCTGAATAGCGAAGCCAATTGTTTATACCAAGTAACAGATCCAAATGCAATCAATTGCACCATTCATCGGCCGAATTAAGCCACGGTGTATAATCAAAATAAGACAGTTTTTGGTGGAAGGGACAAGATTGATTTGCACTTGGTCATTCTTACCCAAGTTAGTAAAACGATAACAAAACATAGTTGTGTTGTCCATACCACTAGGGTGCCAATGAAAGAGGGAATTTGAGAGCAATAGCAATTCGGATGCTACTAAAAGTCTAAAACTTAGCGATCATATCATGGCACAAATGCAGATAGATAGTAATTAAACTTGGTTGAAAGAAAAACTTATCCAATGAAATCCTACAAGGCGGTCGACTCTGTCATTGTTTACAAATGATAAAACAAGCAACGGATGTCCTTGAAAAGAAATCCGAATCCATAATTAATAAAAGCCTCTCAACATCTGATCAAGATGAATCCAGTGATGAAAGGGGGAGTAGAAACTTCACTTAAGGGGAATGAACCTAGAGGAGTGAGTAGCACCAATACCAGGCCTTCCGTGCTTCACAGGCTTGTAACTTATAGAGAACTCAGCAAGATAATGGCTGATCATTTCTGGCTTGATCTCAACCTGATTGAAGGTCTTGCCATTGTAAACTCCAATGATGCTCCCGATCATTTCGGGTACAATGATCATGTTTCGGAGGTGAGTCCTAACTGGCTCCGGTTTCTCACCTGGTGGTGCCTCCCTTTTCTGCTCCAAATCACCAGGAAACCCAACATAAATACAACGATACACCCACAAAATGAATATAAGTACTGGTTGTAAATACAAAGATGCACTTGCTATATTCACTTCCTTGGCATCAACAAAGGCAACGAAAGTCCAGACACAAAATACCCACAAATAAAGAAAGACAGACAACTCAATTTTTCATAAAATACTTGTAAGGTTCCTTCCCCCTTCCCCATTTATTAAATAGCAATAATTATTCATAGGAAATGAAGAAGATAAAATGATGAAAAAATTACTCACACGGAACAAATATGCCAACCGTCAATTAGCTTTTTACACCAAAAATAAAATGTTTAATTCAAAAGTTTGATAAATTGTATTGTATTAAAAGTTCGCTCCTAATGGAAAAAGTATATCACCACAGATATTGAATTGGTTTATAATGTGTTCTAGAACATTATTTACTTCAAATAGAGTTGAATTCAGATATAATGGAAAACCAACTAAAAATCAGGAATTTTCTGTAGGACATTTACACATTCTGCATCCTACATTCCTTGATAGGAAACACAGGCATATACTACAACACTCAAACTACAAAATAATCTATGTTCATGTATTCCTATATCAACTTTTTCAGTCACCGGGTGCAAAAAATGATTGATAAGTTGATAATAGACATCTTATTGATTGATAAGTTGATAAACCCATTATTCAAATAGCAAAACGCTAAGGTAAAAAGGTCCAGACAGTCAGAAATCAAGCTAAAAACAAATGAAAACACATGACAACACACACAGATTAAGAGTTCTTACAGCTTTGCGCAGCTTCTTGATCAATGCCATTGGCTTTCTTTTCAAACCTCTCTGAAACCTGAACCCATTTCATCAGACACCAATACGAAATAGTATTAAGCAAACAGATGATCTAGTACGTGAACACATAAATCGAGACCTGCATAAAGAGTTAAAACCATAGATGCAAATATGTAAGTACCTTCTGCGAGCCCTGGCAGGGAAGAGCTTAACGAGCTCATCAGTGGACATATCAAGAAGAGCATCCAAATCGACGCCTCTGAAGCTGAACTTCTTAAACGTCCTCTTCTTCGGCACTCCGGCCACCGCCACATCAGCCTCCACATCCGCCTAACCCAGAAACCATCACAACAGGCATTCAGTTTGGTTTCCAAAGAAAAACATATAGAAATTTGGAAAATTATAATTGGAAGAAAACAAAAAAAAATAGTCGATTGAGAAATGGTTATTAGTTAGAGAAAAGGGCTTTGAGCTCACCATGTTTGCTGAAGATGAAGAGAATCCCTAATTCACAGAGAAAGAGAATCGGCGTCTGTTGAAGGTAGCAGTGGTAGTAGGGAAATTAGGGTTTTTAAAGATTGGTTTATATAGCTCCACGATATAATGGAGATTCTTTGTTGGAGCTTGCATGTAGCTGGATCCGGCCCGACTATCCGGATTTTAACGGGTACCAGTATTAGTTCGAAACGTTTTAGAAATTTTAGAAACTGGGCTCGAATGGACAATTATGTATCGGACCCGTCCCAGCCCTCTCTTTCGGCCCAAGCATGGTGCTACTCAATTTGTCAATTTGATCTAATTTTTTTGGACAAACAATTTTGATCATATTTGGCAATGATAATTTCTTATTTCAAAAACTTAGGGTTTGTTTAATATTCAACTTGAATTTAATTTTTTTAACTCAAAAATAGAATTTAAGTCTAAAATAAATAAAACTTGTTTGGTAATCCTATTTTTAAAAACTCAAACTCAAGAGCAACTAAAAAACACCTCAATTATTAAAAACAAAAATATCTTCTTCTTCTTTTTTTTTTAACAACCCACAAGTTCTTAAATTTTTAAGATTTGAAAATAGTTTCCAAGTTGCATACCAAACAAGTTTTTAAATCTTAAAAATAGATTTAACAACTCTTTGTTTTAAGAAAAATCAAAGTTTTTGAGTTCTCTATTTGAATAAGATATCAAACGCCCCCTTATGACTTGTTTGGTATTCAACTTAAATCCAACTTTTTAAACTCAAAAACATAATTTGAGTACAAAACAAGGAAAACTTGTTTGGTAGCCATATTTTTAAAAACTCAAACTCAAGAATAACTAAAAAAAACACCCCAATTATTAAAAACAAAAAATATATGTTTTTTTTCTGTTTTTTTCTAATAACCCACAAGTTCAATTTTTAAGATTTGAAAACAGTTTTCAAGTTGCATACCAAACAAGTTTTTGAATCTTAAAAATATATTTAAAAACTCCTTATTTTTAAGAAAAACCAAAGTTTTTGAGTTCCCTAGTTAAATAAGATATCAAACGCCCCCTTGAGTTCTCCATATACTGTTTATGTTCGAACATTCAAAGAATAAAAATAAAACTGAAAATATTAGACCAACCATTATCAACCTTAAACTCAAATCAAATTTTTGGCCTCAAAATATCACGAGAGGCCAGGAATGTTTAAACCCAATATAACATATAATATTGGTCATGCGTTAATCCAAGCTGTATTTCAGGAATTTATCCATTAAATAAATATAAAAATATTGTACATGACATGCCAAGCAAATCATTATCATATGCTAAACCACCCGATAAGCTTAAGTGGGTCCAAGCCACATACATGCCTGGGGCTAACTTAGTGGGTTGTGATGTTGATGGGTACAAGGGTCCATGAGGCCCATTAAAGGTTCAAAAGAACGAAGATTTTGGACTGATTTGGACCCCAAAACCCAAGCCCATTTTCTTAAGCCCACTCTTACTTTAGCAACTATTACCCTACCCTCAACTGCCTAGCACTAAAACCTCTGTTTATTGTGTCACCAACTTGAGCCGCTTATTCATTACATGCTTGAGCTTCAATGGCTATATATGGAAGCAGTAGCTAACCCAGAAAAGGGGACAACCAAGACACCGAGCAAGCCATACACCCACTACTGGAAACAATCAACCTTAACTCTTTAATCCTCTCATTTTCCCCCATAAACCATCATATTCTTCTCCCAGAAACCATTTACCATTTTGAACCCCTAAAACATCCTTTCTTCAGCATCTTATTTCAACTCAAGTAGATGCTCTCTCGCTAAACTCATGGAGACTTAACTGCCACGCTACAAGCCTCTCATGCCAAGCCTAAACTTTTGATTCACTCATCCATAGCTGCTAGAACAAAAAAGACGCCCACAAGGTTTTATCACAAAAGACCTCGGTGTTATTAGAAGTAGAACCACTTATTATAAGTTGTAGTTTATTTAGTCAAATTTCCGATGTGGGACTTTATATTTTTCAAATCCTACACAGATTTAAAAGCTGGAAGATATATGTAAAAAATAACACATCAAAAAGCTCGAAGTAAAATATTTTTTTAGTCATGGACCCACTATCATTTACTCTCTTTTAAAATTGTATGCATCATATGGATCCCAATGCCTCTTAGGACCATGTTGATTGCCGGGCTGGTATTGGAGTAATTTTGCGCAACTCTCACTGTAATTTCATTGCATCTAAGGCCATCCCTTCCACCGCCTCTTCGGCTCTGGAAGCGGAAACCTAGGCTGTTCTTCAAGGTTGTAAATTGGCTCATGATCTTGATTGTACAGGCGTGATAATTGAATCGGATTCGAGAGGTGTCATACAATGTTTGAACGATAATATTGCTAAGGGAGCGTGGGCAATGTATCCCATTCTCAATCGTATCAGAGAGCAGCAAACTCTTTTCTACTTGTGCAGATGGTCTTGGACCTTGCGAGTGGCCAATGAAGTGGTCGATTTAGTGGCGTTGCTAGCTATGGTAAGGATGAGCAATGAAGTTTGGGTCCACATACCTTCATCCTTGCTAACTCATGTTCTGAACAATGATGGGCAGCATTGCCCCCCTTTTGTCTAATATACTCTTCTCAAGCTAGTTAGAGTTGACAAGGGATCTCGTCCTTGTATGATGTTTCTTTCCTCTTTTAGCTTATTCATATGTCTGTACTGGCATCTCTTCGTCTGCTACTGTTTGTTAGGGCACCCTCCTGTTTCCTTTGTGGATTTGGGCCCGTTGTTGATGTTGTTCTGTTTGCGATTTCTCCACCTATTATGAACATGAGGGCTTCTACAATGAGGAGTTAAAGTGAGGAGGTTATTCTTGCGTCAGCTACCTTTTTTCTTTCTTTTTTTTTTTTTTTTTTTTGGGTTGCTGTTGTCGAAGCAAGATTGGAAGGTGGAAGGGTAGGCAGGCTCAGGCCTGCGTGTGTTGAGCTTGAAGTTGAGGCAAGAAGTGGCTGGGCTCGAAGTGGAACCAA